GTTTGAACAAAATGCCAAAATCAACAGAGAGCTAAAAAAAAAAAAAAAAAAAAAAAAAAAAAAAGAAGTAGTTGTTTATTTGACTAGAGGAAAGTTTTGTTCCCTTCCTTTATTTTTCTCTTTTTGTTTTAGCTGAAAATCTACAGATAGAGGAAGCTAGGTAATACCGAGCTTCTGACTTTCGAAGAAAACATTTTGCCCCAGGATTTGCCATTCTGATCATTTTCTGGAGAAGGATTCAGGAATTTTCTTCCTCCTTCACTGTAGAACAAGATGAATCTGATGATGTAGATTAGTCGTTCTCATTTTAACACCTAGCAGAATCACCTGGAAGACTTGGCGAAACAAAGGTTGTTGGGCCGGATGGCCAGGGTTTCTGACTCAGTGGGCTTGGGGTGGAGTCTAGAACAGGCATCTCGACAAGTTCTCAGGTGGTGTGGCCGTTGCTGGTCTGGGGCTATATTCTGAGAACCTTTGCTCTATATCAGAAAGTGTAGGAGCAGTGGCCTAAGGAAGAAAATTCCCTGGGAGAAAAATGAACAGAAAAGAGAAAATGGAGGACAATAAAAATTTTATGCACACATACACACACATGCACACACACAGCTGAAACACTGTTCCTTATTGTCTGAGGATGACAAGTCCTCCTCTCCACTGCGGTGGAAGCCGGGTTGTGTGTGTGTGTCTGGAGGGTGTGTGTGTGTCTGGAGGGTAGTGTGTGTGTGTGTGTGTGTGTGTGTCTTGAGGGTGTGTGTGTGTCTGGAGGGTAGTGTGTGTGTGTGTGTGTGTGTGTGTGTCTTGAGGGTGTGTGTGTGTCTGGAGGGTAGTGGGTGGTGTAAGCCATTCCTGGATGCCTCCTTAGAGAAAAAGGGGGAGTGTTTACTCAAAAGAGGCTGAAGGATTTACTGAAAGGACTACTTAAATTACTTAGATAAACCCTAAGTTTATACCAGCTGAAAAGAATTCATGTGCACTGTCTCATTCCTCCCTAACCCCTCCATTAATCCTTCCTCTAAAATCTTGGACACCAGGGCATTTGGGCACAGAAGAAAGGCCATACTTTCTTTCCAGCACAGAAGTGTGGTCTGAACGAAACTTCACAAGACCACTATATCAGCCTGCACTCGTAAGTAACACAAAATCTAAGAGGTACTTATTGAGGGGTCGAGATTTGTGGGAAATTGGCTGGGTGCTACATGCTCTGAGCAGCATCTCATGGCTGACCAATGGCATTCTGCAGCATCTCATGGCTGACCAATGGCATTCTGCAGCATCTCATGGCTGACCAATGGCATTCTGCAGGGGCACGGAGGGGTGGCCCATCTCTCACTAGGTCCCTGTGCTCAGACCCACCCCTGGGCTGTGGCCATGGGATCCCATATCAGGGGCAGACTCAGAAATTACATTAGCCCCAGGCACATAGCATCTATTGCCTTCCATAGCCCTCTTTATCCTAATCCAGCCTAATTTTATTTTGTCTTTCCTGGCCGTACTTCAGTCTGATCACATGAGCATCTTCCGGGATCTGTCAATGAAGGATCTATTGAGTAAATGAGAGCTCCTCAACGGAGAGAAAGAAAGAAGTCTGCTGGAGGCTCATGCTTTGGGGGCAAGCTTGTAGGGAAGATAGCAAAGAGGACAGAAAAACCGGGTTCGGGAAGCCAGGGTGATAGGGAGTAGCAGCAGCATTGTGGGAAATAGCAGACAAGAGTTACCAAATGTTTTTCTTAATCCCTCAGTCCAGCGCTCACCAGAAGAAGTTGTATCATGAAAAGAGAACAGGTATTAGAGTCAACTGCCCAGGCTGGGGAGATAGCTCAGTGAAATAAGTGCCTGGCTGGGAAGTGCAAGGTCCTGAGTTCAATTCCCGGTGCCAAAACAGAAAAAAAATAATAGAACCAACTGCCCAACTCTGCCATTCGGTGGCCTTGGAAGCCATTGTTGTACTTCTTTGAACCTGGGCTTTTTAGCCATAAATTAAGAAAAGTAATACTTACCTTTCAAGGATTGTTGGAAGAATTAAATGATTTTATTACATGATGTAATTCATGTAAAACATCTAGCATGTCTACATTAAAACAAATTCCACGTAAGTGGCTGTAAGTATCATTTCACACAGAACTGCGCTGAACTCTTTATGGGGAGGCAGCTTGTTTTCCGCACAGTGTCAGTGACAGTTAATTGAATTAGGGTGTGCAGGGGTCTAGATTTCTCTAACATGGTCAAAACGGCACCTGGAAGTGGACTCCTTCTCCACCCTTCGGCCCCTGGACTGCCCGCCTGAATGTTGCCCTCTGGCTGGGATCTGTATAGGCGTGTGGTCCCTGACGACGTGCTATCAAAATGAATTTCATTTGCTCCACTTCCTTTCCTGTTGTCTTTTCCTTCCTTGTCCGTTCCCCTGCCCCGCATAGAAGTACCGCTCTGTTTGGAGGACTGCCTGTTTGTATACATGTCTCTTATTAACCGCTGGGAGTTTGGGGAGAAATTGTTGAATCAGCTCACACCTGAAACTGAAGATAAAAATGGTTTTGGGGACTGCACTCTATTCTTCTGAAGCTTGGTAACACACAGTCAGCAAATGTGCAACCTGTAGGGATGGCAAGATAAAATTTAAAATGATTTATCTGTGGAACTTACCGCAGGATTATTCAGTAATTTTTTATATTGCCCAGTGTATTCTGAGAAGAGTTTAAGATCTGGTTATGAAAAGATGAGAAAAAAGCTTTGTAGTGAGTTCCTCCTAAATAAAGAGTTTGAAATATTTAACTTAGTTTAGGTCATTGCGTCTTGGGAAGTTTTACTTGGATCTTTATCTATCATTGCAATCAAGTTCATTAACTCATTGCTAATGTAACTTTTTGAATAAAACAGTTGGCAAGAAATTCAGTAAATTATAATAATCCCTTCCTGATTTTTTTTCTCCCTAGCTAGAAGTAGGACATTTTATTTTTTGATGCTTCTACTAGTTTTAAAAGTGTAGCCTGTCTACTAAGGAATTTCATTATTAGATTGAAAACAATTCTTTCACAAAGAAAAACATGAAGCAATGTTTAGACTGTGCTGCGTGACAGCTGATCACTTGATCTTTGCATTGGGGAAAATATTTAAAAATTGAGAAACTATTCGGCCTTTGCTCATGTCAGTGACTCTAACGGCCTCGCTGGCTGCCTGAGGTCTCTGGCTCAGCGGCCTGATCGGCCTTCCTGTGCTCTACTTTTCTGCTTCCAGGCCTTGGTTTGCAGTGTTCTTTGCTAGGAGAAACAGTCTCTCCCACCCACGTCTGTTTCCTCAAATCCCAATCACCCTCCCAGGCCCGGCTCAATTACTCCCATTTTGTAGCATTCCCGCAACACCAGGCGCGGAGCACTTTCCTTCTACCCCAAGCGCCTAAAATATGAGCCGTTTTTTTCACCATTCAGATGGTATTTTCCGAATTCTGTCTTGGGGTCTGAGGATTTGTGAAAGTCCCTTTTATTTCTTTCTTTTCCAAGATCCTGGATAGAACAATTGATTTTCTCCCACAAAGCGTCTTACACAACAGAGAGAGCCCAGCGCATCTGCGCCACAACCATGAGTTCTACCTAATTTTAACAGGCATCAGTTGCTGCCTGAGCAATGCCACACAAAGGATGTTGAGCAGAAGAAAATAACAGTCTGGAAGGAAACTGCTACTTCCAGAGGAAATGAAGCCAGATTTGGAAAAGTAAATAGTCCCTTTGCTGATGGCATTTTAAGCTGTTTCCTGCCCTTGGGGCAATGACCCTGCAGGAAGAGACTGAGTGAAAAGGATTTTTGTCATCCCGCGACAAGGGCCTCATTCTTTCGTTCTGAGCATCCTGCCCGGATGGAGTCACTATGGAACGAATTTAAGAGACGCTAAAGCATTTCATGTTTCGGTCCAGAGCTATTTCTCCCATTAACCTTCCCCTGGTGAAATCCCCATAGTGAGAGCACATGGAGAAGACTCAGCCTTGCTCAGTTTCAGGAACAGGGCAGCTGGGGGCACGTGGGGTCCACAAGACCGTGCTGCAGCCAGACTTTGAAGCAGAGTGGGTCCGGGCCAGGGTATGGGGCAAGGTCCAGAAGATTCTCGATTGCAAAGCTGCACAGTGCAGAGGTTTGAGACGCCTGGGATGTGGGGGACGGAGAAGGGCCCAGTTAGAGATGGAAACCTCAGGGTAGACAGAGCTAAGTTGTGTCCCTCTGTCTCTTTACAATTTCTGCAGGGTTAGTCCAGAGTGTGATTCATGAGAAGGGATCCAGCTCACCTACTGTTAGTTTAACCTATCTTCCCAGGAGATGGGTAAACACACTTAAAAATAGAATACATGTTCCTCATGATGGCCCCTGTATATATCTGCAAAAACACAACATAATATTAAGGTGGGTTTGTTTTGCAAAGAAGTTTTCTGCCGTTCTTTTTGATAATACAGTACAAGCTGTTTTTAACTTGGGATATCCGTTGCCAGTTAGCCTCGGAGAAGTGGTAGTACTTCCTTTAACCACACGAGGTCGTGCGTCAGCCAGCCCCTGGGGACGGAAAATGGCTCCCGCGTTCTGCTGATCTCCGTTTTCCCTCTGTTGTCTGTCAACTGCTTTTCCTCCCAGGGTAAAACTTGACTAGCAAATTTCAGTGGAAATGGAGCACGTGGAACTGTTTTCGGGCGAGAGGGTGAGGGGTCTAGGATAAAGGCAGGTTTTATGATACTCGTGTCTGATGTCCAATTTATAAAACTCACAGCATGAACATTCAGGTTTTTAAGTTTGTGATTTGGGCCCTGTAGCTTTCAGCTGAGATAAAGAACAGAAGATCATTAGGTTCTTAGACCAGAATCTTCTGAGACCCCCAGGAGACCCATGGGAGGCAGAAGTCAGCTGCACTTTGGTGCAGCCGCTGTATTTGCTTTACTCTCTGGATACATCTGGATAACTAATCCCAAGGAACCTGATTCTTCAGTAAGATCTGTTCACCAATTCCTATTTTACCCTTATTTATCATTTTTCTGTCATGCGTATGTATGGAAAAGAACTGTTTGTTAGTAACAATACCCTAGGATTTTTATCCTCCTGCAAATTGCCTAACAAACCATTGTTTCATTTGAAGGAAGAAATCACAGAGAAAAGATCTCTAACCACAGAGACTTCCTTCATTTCTGTCACACATTGTGTGAATTACAATACTTGATTATCTAACTAGGAAGTGCCCAAATTATGTTGTATAATTTTTGTTCTTTCCATTTCCATTCTAAGCACTCAAGAGTTGGTTTTTTTTGTTGTTGTTGTTTGTTTTGTTTTTGTTTTTGAGACAGGGTTTCACTATGCAGTTCAAGCTGGCCTCGAACTCACTTTGTAGCCCAGGCTGGCCTCGAACTCACAGCAGTCCTGCTGCCTCAGCCTCCCAAGTGCTGGGATTACAGGCGTGTGCCGCCACGCCTGTCTCCAAGGGTAGTTTTAAAGCTAAAAATTTCTCTTATTGACTTTTTCTTTGCAGAGCCAAAACAGAGTTGAGAAGAATAATTCAGTGTTCCCTCTGTTCTCCCACACATCCTTGCCTAGTTTTCACAGTCTGTGGTTGAAATGTCTGCAAAGAAGCAAGGACACAACTTCACCAAATAAAACGTTCTTTCATTCATCCTTCAAACAACAAGGGTTTCGTTTATTTTTCTCTCCCTGGGAAGTATTATTTAAAGTGCAAAATCACTCTGACCAGAAGAAGGTAGACCCACTTGTTCCCTTACTATCTATTTTAGGGTTACGAAAGAGCTCCAGCTTTCTTCCCCTGGAGGCAGACAATGCCATCTCCACTACAGAGCCGGATTCCGGCACCAATAACCAATAGCAATGTGGTGGGAGAAGGCAGCATGGCGCCAGGGGGAAGGAGGTTGGCTGCTACTGGCGGCCACTGAAAAATAGTTCTCACTTGCACACTAGTGTTGTTGAGTGTACCTTGCTGTAGCCAGTGCCCTGGCCAGACATTTCACCAGGAAGGGAGAATGGAGGTGTGCCGATCAGGAGCAAGTCTTTCTGGTCGGATGGATCTGAAAGTGTGAACACTTTCTGAAATTTCTTAGCGGTGAGTGGACACTACTGAAACAAGGACAGGTCAGAAACTAAGACGACCAGACCAACACAGCTGTCCCAGGCCTTTGGGCTGAAGGTATCAGGGAGACCTGCAGAGCACTACCTGAGAATCCTGGAGCAATGTCTCTGTAGAGGAAACAGGTGGAACAATTCTTCACTGCTCCATATTTCGATTTCTTTATTTACTGTTCAAGCTCTTAGCGTTTCTCTGATGAGGCAGGGGAAGAAGCGGGAGGCGCGCGTTTGTGTTTCACTGGGAGTGCTAAAGTGGAAGCAGGCACCATGGCAGAGCAGTCATAGAGGACAGAGGAGCTGTCGATGGGAAGATGAAGACAGGTGAGGTAGCTGAAGCCACCTAGGCTGCTGTCTCATGCACCTAGAGGCTGTTCTTCCTGACCTTGGTGTCATGGATCTGTGTTTTTCTGTCTGGACACTGATTAATAAAGTCATCTTAGAAATATAAGCTCTAAAGCTTGTTGAGCATTCCCCCAATGGGATTCCAACATAAATCTGCCCAATATTCTATTTCTTTCTAGAAAAAAAACAATAGTTTTTACTAATACCTTGTATTTCTATAGCACTTCACAGTTTATAAACTACTTTTCTATGGAAATCTCATTTGAATTTTGTAATAACGCCTCTGAGACAAGCAACAGAAGAAACAAAGTTTCATACACATACACAGCTGGTAGTAGTAGAGGTAGAAGAGATACTTAAATCTAAGTCCTCTGTCTCAAAGTCCCATGATTAGAAGAACCCTCTTCCCTGGTAGCAAAATGGTGAACACAGTTCTGAAATTGGGACTGTTGGGAGAGGAAAACAAAAATGAGATGGACAGATATTAAGCAAGAGAATGAAATGAAAGTGTGGACATCTTATATGCCGTGCGTGCATGCACGCGCCCACACACACACACACAGAGTCATTAAAAACACAATTGGCCAAAAAATGTATAGACACTTTAGGAAAAGAAAAATAGTAGGTTTTCTTTTCAACAGATGGTGTTACCCTCACATGGGGGACCCTAGAGGTTGTCGTATATCGCAGAAAACCTACTACACAGCCAGCCCTTAGAGAAGAAACTGAAAATGCATGTGCAGGAATCTCAGTGACAAAGGTTACCCAAGCAACAGTTCACCATATTAATAAATGTCTGGAAGCTCATGGGAACCACTTTGAACATCTCTTGCAATTGTAGAGGCCAAAGGTGAGTTGTATTAATCTCATGATGTCTCGATAAGTTTAGTATTAAAACACTTATACAAGTTTTTTTTTCCAGAAGTGTGCATACACTTTTGGCAGTCTGCATTTATATAGCCTTCCTTAGTATAGTTCATAACTTATTGTGACTTGTAACAACATCTTTCCAATGTAATTGTATATGGATAAATATTAGTTAAATCACATGACCAATAATCATCTTTTACTTGCTTCCATTTTTTCTTTTCTTTTTTTTTTTTTTTCTTTTCTTTTTGAGACAGAGTCTTGCTATGCAATTCAGGCTGGCCTTGAGCTCACTTTGTAGCCCAGGCAGGTCTTGAACTTGCAACGATCCTCCTGCCTCAGCCTCCTGAGTGCTAGGATTACAGCCGTGTGCCACCATGCTCAGCTTACTTGCTCCCATTTTAAAATGTTTTGGGATTTGGCCTATAATTCTAAGACATATGTATGTGACTCAGGATATGCTAATTTTGTATCACCCATCTCTTATTAAATAAATAGATAACTGCTAAAAATGGGATTATATCTATTGGAGAAAATGTCACATTTCATGCAATGCCAAGTTTGGTCTCTACACCCTTGCTGAGACTTTTTCGTTTGGCATCTGCACCTCTCCTTCCCCCCAGCCCACACCTGGCAGTTGTCCAGGCTTGAAGGTGACCCAGTAATGGAGACACCGTTGTGTGGTGCTAGTAGGAAAGCGGCACTGTCTTCTGACCGGTGGTCACTGGATGGATGTTGACATAGGGCTTTGCTGGAAAATGCTCAGAAGCACTACCCCTGCTCCTTGGAATGTGTTGCTCAAAATAAACCCGTCCTCAGATGGCTGGAATGAACTGGATCTGGAGGACCGTGCTGCCCCTGAGCGAGGTCATGCGGATTGGACCTATGGACGTCTGTCTGTTTTAAACATCCAGACCCCAGGACTGTGCCAATGCGCGCTGAGCAGGGTCCGCTCTCCCCACACTATCTGCCCAGCCAGATAGTGTGATTCACTCTTGTCAGTCTGGTGACCCAGCTGGTCGCCCACTCACTCAGGACCTATATTTAAACATGGCTGGCAGCGGAATGATTCTGCATTTCTGTGGTTCTACAACTGAAAGTTTACTTTGAAAAACCGGGATGCTGCTCAGACATTATCTAATTAGCACCGTGTCTGCATGGCGGAAGATGCCTGTAACACGCAGTGTTGCCCCAGCATAATTTGGTCACATCCTGAAAACTCGACTGGGTAACTCAGAAGAAGACACAAAAGGAACTGCGCCCTTCCTATGGGTTAAGTTTAAGGGTGCCGGTGCCCAGTATTAGCCTCACCGGCGGAGAGAGCGTGGCTAGCAGATCCCCACGATGCTCGGGCGTTGCAAGAAGTAGAAAAACATTCTTGTCCCTTTGCACTGTCGTCTGGTCTATTTACCAAATAGAGTTGGTTGGCTTTAAAATAGTTAAGCCAAATTCTTCAAGTTTTTAGTGAAATATTGCAAGGTTCTTTTGACACATTATAATTTGAGTTTTTGAGGATTGCTCATTAGTCTCAGCGCTTGCTGTTCTCAAAAGCACGGGTTTCTGGTGTTCTTTTTTTTTTTTTTTTTGGTTTTTGGTTTTTCTCCGGTACCGGGAGCCGAACTCACGACCTTGTGCTTGCCAGGCAGGCGCTTTGCCGCTGAGCTAAATCCCCAGCCTCTCTGGTGTTCTTTAAAAGGTAATATCTTGTAAGCCAGCTCCAGTTTGCTACTGTGTGCTTTCTATCTGCCCCATACTTTATTGTCCGGAATTAGATACACTGCTGATTTACACAGACTTTGCATAGAGGAAAGATAGAGCAAGAGGGTGTATGAAGCATAAATGCGTTTGTAAATGCTTACTGTAGCTGCCCAGGTCACACAGAAAAGGAGCAGTCTCACACAGACAGCTTGCATCTTTGAGAATCTCTATGAAAAAACAATGATATTTTACCCTAAGCTTTGCCAATTACAAATTACAACCATTAGCAAAGAAGTGTAAATGAACATCCTTCTTCCCCACCAGTCTATTTCTCCTTAGTATATATTTATATTACATATTAATTATATATTGAACATATACTTTTACATATTTTCTATAGTTACAACTATAAAACAAGCATATATAAACACACACATTTTGTATAATTTATGTAAGTGAAATAAATCAGACACACAAGCTTAAATAGTGCATGGCTTCTCTTATATGAGAGCCCCAAAATACGAATGAATTGAAGAGCAAAGTAAAAGATAGATCATAGGAAAATGGAAATAGGTCTTTTGCAAAAGAGAAAAGGTCAAAGAGATGGAAGGAAGAGGAAGGAGAGGAGGGGAGGGGAATGGGAGTAACAAGAATAGAGATGTGTTACACCTATGTGCAAACTTCCAAAGATAAATGTCATCAGTATGTACTGTCAGCATGCAGTAATAAAAATAAGGTATTACAAAAGAGATAAATTTGATAGACATATTTGCTAGCCCTGTTTTTTCTTTTACCTTTAGAAAGAGATCACTAATTTTTGTGTAATTTGAAATGACAGTAAGGTCACACAGCGGCCCATGACAGAATCTCTAAGTGTCAAAGTAGCACGCACCACGGTGTGGCATGAAATCTTATCTGGTGCCCCAGTGTCTGTCCTCATATTCATTACCAATGTAGCTGAATCAGTCACCATCCTTGAGATGGAGAATAAAACAATTTTTTTTTTGGTATTGGGAATCAAACTCACAAACTCACACTTGCCAGGAAGGCTCTGTGCCTCTGAGTTATATGCCCAGCATCCAATACTATTTAAAACATGCTAACAGTGGGAATCAAACTCACAAACTCACACTTGCCAGGAAGGCTCTGTGCCTCTGAGTTATATGCCCAGCATCCAATACTATTTAAAACATGCTAACAGCTAACACTTATTAAATACTAAAATAAGCCCCATACTGTTCTAAGAATTTTATGCTTACTCAATTATTTGACCCTCATGGTGCCACTTCGAAGCAAGGTGAAGCTCTAGGTCTGCACTTTGAATGGCCAGATAACTTATCTCAGAATTCACAGATAGGGGCAGAGCTGGGTTGGTATCCAGGCAGTGTAGCTACAGAGCCAGTGCTCTTAATAAAGACACTATAGTACCTTAAATAAGTGTCTATTCTTTTGTCCTTTTACAGAAATATCTACATGTATCTAATTTAAATGTAAATTGAATTTTATATTGGGTGCTGTAACAGGACGTTTCAAACATTAATGTTTAGTTATGGGTAAAAACATTTTTACAGTTTGATAAATATATGGATAGGCTCTAGTAAGTTTGTTTAGGTCAAGCAGCCATTAGATTGAAAAAAAGCCTCAGCATAGTTTGAACTAGCGATCTGTGGGTTTTGATGAGCATTAAATATCTTACTAACATAGACACACAGCACTACACAGATGCATAGCAACAAATATTAGAATAATAAACATCTTTATGGTTACCTGGGAGAGAATACTTTTAATGGGAAATGTAACTTCAGTACTCTTGTGATGTTTAATCAGTTCAAAATAAAAACTTTTATTTGGAGCAATAAATAAAGCTGTTAAATATTTTCTAAAGTCTTTAAGCTATTTTTTCTAAATTAATACAGTTTTAAGGTTCTTAATTCAAACTGTGACTTAGCCTTCCAAGCAATCTATACAGCAGGACAGTGTAAGCCACTTATCAAATATCTTAGTACTGATTAGTAGGAATATCAGCACAGACCAAGTTTGTGGAGCTTGATGATTCTGACAGTTAAATCAAAAGGAAAGCTGCTACCAAAGCATGCATTTTAGTTGATCATATCTGGAGCTTGGTAACACATTTCTTACATTACAGAAGAAAGCACTAAATATTACACAGTTGTGCTCAGTAGAGAATATTTTCGATTTGTTTTTAGTTTCAAAAGCAGTAACCCAGCCAGGGTAGCAAGCACCTTGAAAATGTAAAGCACCACGATAGAAAGCTACTTGCTATCAAGAGCATCACGAGAGCCAAATTACCTGGGATCTTTGACCTTCCAAAAACCTGGCTTCTCCAGCAGGATGAGCAATCTCTGGGCATTTTGCTGAAATTTAAAGTTTGCTCGAGTTCCTGATGTCCAATCAGCACTGGCCCACTTAACACTAGCAAGCAATTTGTTATGTGTGCCCACAGATAGCCACCGGGGGCAAAGTAATTTTAATCTAAAAATGTTTTTGTGGTGGAAAGGTGCTATCAAGTGTTCCAGAAAGTGGAGTAAACAGAAAATATAAATACCCCAGTTTGGATATCACGTTGTCAGATAATTAGAATTGATTTGGGAACAATCAACCAGGACTGACTCAAGACCTAACGTGTTTATAAATGGAAAATATTTATAAACAAATACTTCTATAAAAAGAAAATGTCTTTTATTTTGTACAGAAAATCTACAGTCTCAATTTCCATCTCAGTGAAATTCAGAAGCATTTAATAAAAATGAAATGCAGAAGTATTTAGCAGAATCCTACCTACTGTGGAGGAGGCACTGGGAAAACAGCTGTAAACAAACATGGAGCTTCCAATCCCGGGGTGGATGTACGCAATAGACAGAGTGGATGAGTCAGTTATGTTATATTAGATCGTAGCATAGGTGAAGTCTAAGGAAAAGATATTCGTGAGACATCAAGTTGAAATTTTAGCTAAAGAGTCCTGGGAGAGTCTCATGGCAAAGGGAACTTCAGAGTAAACTTTCAGCCATGGCTTGCATGTTGTGTTCCTCCAAAGTCCATGTGCTAAAACTGAAACCCAGTATGATAGTATCCAGAAGTAGGGCATTTAGAAAGCAACTAAATCATAAAGTCAAAACCCTGAAAGATTAGCACCATTATGAATGCCTGGAGGCACTTTGAGGGCCTTTTCTCCCCCTTGTCCTGCTGTCTCTACATCTTTGGAGAATGAATGAGCATTGTTCTGTCCTGAAAGCAGAGGCAGCAAGTCCCTACCAGATACTGAACCTGCCAGCACCTTGATGTTGGACTTCCAGCCTCCAGAACAGCCACAAATAAATTTTTGCTCTTTATGCATTACCTGGCCTTGGGTACTCTGTTATAGCACCATCCACAGACTGAGCAGACCTGTAGATTCTCTACAGGATGGGTGTTCCTGACAGAAGGACTAGGAAGAGCAGAACCCCAGAAACAAGAGCCAGATGACTTGTTCCAGAATCAGAGATGAGGTCCTTGGCTAGCGGGACTGAGCAAGGGCAGTAGCAGCAAATGAAGTCAGAAGGGTATCAGGTGCCAGATGACAGGGACTTGGAGGTCTCCACAAGGATTCTGTCATCACCCTGCGTAGGAAGGAGAACCCCTGGAGGTCTAAGTGCAGGGGTGGTTGAAAGTGTGTTTGAAGTAGGGGAAAAAAAGATCAGCTCCAAGGTTCTGAGCAGTGCAGAAGGGATGATGGTAAGTGGCTGTGTCCTAACGTGTTTTGGAATGAAAACCAATAGGACTGCTGGGGAGGGAGAAGTAGGATCTGAGAGAAAGTCAAGACTCAGAATGCCACCCATTTTGTCCTGCAACTAATTAAGGATTAAGTTGCTTTTTATCAATCTGGTAAAAAACACAGAGGAAGACAGTTTGGAAGGCAATACTGTGTGTTTGGACTTGGACATATATTTTATAAGACATGGTCAAGTTAGGGCACAGAGTTTCTTAATGAAATAAATATCATGCCCATTAGGGGTCAGCTTTTCTAGGGCTATTGTCTGTTCATCTGTTTTGTCCAAAATGGATACCAAATTCACGATTTTAGTGGGGAGGTTCCCTTCAATCTAAAATTAATTGTAACAGCTAGTGGGCTTATTTACATTGGAATCTATGCAAAAACATCAATAAAAGATTATGTAAGAACTCTGTTTTATGATAACTCCTACACTTAAACACAATTTTCACATACTATACACAATATATAATCAAATTTAAGTGTAAATCCCAATTTTTTCCAAACTACTAAATTAGATAGATCAATCAACCAATTAATCAATCATAGCCCTTAGGCAGTTTTGGCTGAGAGAAGGCTGCTTTTTCTAGTTCAGATCAGGTCTCTCTTTTTTGTTTAATCCATATTCTGCAGCTCCCCTCTGAACGTCCTGAGGGGACGTTTTAATGCTCGCCAGGCTAGAATTCAAGCCCTTGGGCTAGGGTCACTGCTGATTCAGAGCCATCCAACCATATGTTTTAGACTATTTGAACATTATTGTGTACATGGAGACTATTATGTTTGGAATCAAACAGATCTGAGTCCAAATCCATACCATACCACGTTTACTGAGTACACTGCCTAAACAACTAAACTGGCCCCTTCTGTCTCTCGTTTTCTGAAAACAGCTGCACAATAGTAACAAGCTACACTGTCAATGATTGGCATGGCTCCAACTGTGTGGCATTCATTTATCCTATCCTTGAAACCACTCTGTGATGTATGCTGAGATGTTCTGCTTTATCATCCTGATTTCAGCAATGACACATGAAGCACTTAAGCGACTTGCTCAAGGTCATACGCTTAGGAAGTGACAATTGTCAGTAGGCAGTCTGACTGCAAAGAAAGTTTAAAAGCCACCGCACTATATTGTCCCATAAGATGAACACACACGTTAAATTAAACTGTACAAAGTGCTTAGTCTGGTTCCTGACTTCAGTAAGTGATTACCCATTCCACTCAATCTTCCCTTTATTAGTGACAATCTAATGGACCAGGTGCTCCCATTTGGATCTCCTCTCTGTCCTCTGTGGATTTTCTCTTCTCACCTGCCTTTATGACTTCTTTAGTATAAGGGCAAAAGTAATGATACATTGAAATGAGAGTGGAAGTTTAAGAGAACACAGCGGTCTACTTCTCTAGATATGAATATTCCTGCCTAGAATTTCAGCCAACTGCTAAGGACTTGTGTGATATACAAGAGCAGAAGGAAATGAAAGCCAAAGAAAGAAAGAAAGGTTAACAAATACGAGAGTTCATCAACAAAGTGATATAAAAGATAGACCAGTGAAAGCCACAAAAAAATGTTCTCTTAAAATTTTGGATATTCCAGTAGACCAGTAAATAATTCAGCAATTTCTGTGACAGTTAACAAGGCATGTGGTGTTTCAAGCTGTTACACTCTTCCTAGGATTAACTTTACATTTTGAATGATCCAGCAAAACATAGGCACCTGCCTCGTGTATGGAGGGGCTGAGAAAATGTTGGTTTTTTTCATTGTTTTGATGTTATAGTTTCAGATCTTTCTAAAATGTGGTTTTCCGTTCTTCCTAAAGAAATTTCACATGTGAGAGATGTTCCCTTCCTTTAAGTGATGGGAAAATGTCTAATTTTGATATAGAAAAAGCATGAGTTCTGGGAAGAGAAAAATACAAAAACTTTTTAAGGAAAAGAAACTGACCGAGATACTAGTCCTACCGGGGTGTGAACTGGCAGGGGCTAAATATGTATGCTTTCAAAGCTAAAATGAACTCAAAGCTAAAAAAAAAAATATAGGAAATTCAAGTTGAGTCTTAAATTTAGAACCTACAATTGACCAAAGCAGAGAAAAACGAGAGCCTGTTCTGCCAGGAAGGTTGCAGAGAAGATATTCTGGGGAACAAGAGAAAAGCGATCACTTGCTACAGTTCTGTGAAGGAGAGATTTTGCTTCCACCCTCTTGAAACTTGCCCCATGTTGAGACTGAGCTTCAGAAACTTGAAAAAATTCTCTAAGATGATTTTGGGTAATAAAAAGTTTTGCCATAGCATTTCTTAGGAATCAGTAGCCAAAGGTAAAAACCAGGGTTCTGTAATAAGTTATCTATCTTCACACCATCTTTGTTTAACAAGAAAAAAAACAGCAAACAACAAAAACAACCCAGGAAGCAACTGAGTAGGGCAAGAGGCAGCGTGTGAGCTTTCTTCTGGGTGCTGCTTTGTGGCTAGAAAACGGACACTCCAGTAATGCAGTCTGCAGCCTGGCTTACCTGGGCCAGGAGAGTATGCAGGGTTGCTCCTCAGAGAGATTTTAGATGACAGAGGTTTATGGAACTTTTGCGTTGTATGGTCATGTTTTTCAGTTCTTGCTTTCACTTCTGTGTGAATAATCATTTCAAATGTTTATAGATATGTTAATAAGAAAATAAAATACCTTTTGAGATAAGAAATGTTAGCTAACTACACTATCAGTTCTAGCTACTGGACCCTTCCCCAGGAGGTTCTGTTTTGCTTTCTTATCCATTACTAGGACCTCGCTCTCATATTTTTGGTACTTCTACTCTGGGCCCACTTGCTTTGATATACAGTTTTTCAAACTCAGTACATCTATACATCTCCACATGGTCTAGTTTTCTATTTCTGGCTTCTATGCACAAACAGCAAAGAGTATTTTCTTTCTTTAATTCAGTGGCGAATCTTTACGGTGATTTTAGCAGGAAAAAGGCCCCTCTTGAGTTATTTTCCCTTTACCATGCAGACGCTTAGACTCTCAAGCCTTTAGGCATTTCGTAAAAGTATCTGTTTCCCATTCATCTCCAAAACATAATTCATAACGGATGTGCTGGCCCTGTTTTCAGCGAAATGAAATATTTTTGCTTTAAATATATCTATTGCTGATTGTGAATATTCATCTTATACTAGGCAAAGGTCACTTTTTCTAGAACATCCTTTACAACCACTTTTCTCATTTACCCCCAAATCATTTTTGATTTTGGTTATTATTTTTTCTTTTAATGCTTGGGAATTTCAACAAAAGTACATAAAAGTTTCAGCCAGATGCAGAACCTGGAGGTCGCAGAACAGCATGAAGCTTACTGTGTTCAATTCTCCAGGCTGTTTGTTTGTTGTTCAGCTATTACTAGCAAAGAGAAGATCCAAACAGTACAATAGATATTGTGAAAGGGAAAGAAACTGCTCAAAAGGGAAGAACAGCTGGGATGGGGGGAAAAGAAGGAAAAATACACACACACACACACACACACACACACACACGCAAGATAGCTAAGATAATTGTACTACTAATTACTATTAGCTTATTGAAAGGAACAATCAGTGCTTATGTTGTCTGATCAACTTTACATGTCTATATCTGGTAATCTGGGCAACTACTTTGAAGACAACAATATTTAATAT